AAATTAAATTTGAAATAGTGTACCATGACCGCTAATCATACTTTAAAGATATTTGAAACCAACTTATTTCCACTGCACTGTGAGTAATAAAAATTGGAGGATCCATATTAAACATACATACATACACACAATACATACATCCATACATATTTTAACCATAGTAGTGTTGAAAGAGTATAAAAGGAATTAATGTGGGTGTAGTTTTTGTTTATCTCAGGAAATGCAGACAAAGCTCCTGGGAGAAGTAAATCAACTTTAATTTTATAATTACCTCTAACAAACTTGTCACTATTATAGAAGTCTTGTTTAAATATAATAATGAATTAACATACCCTTGGATTTGGTAGTGGTGGAACTAGAACCACTGCTACCTTCATCTTCTTCTTCTTCAGGCTCAGAAGCTTTATGTTTGGCGTCAGTTTTAGCTTCAGTCTCAGCAACAGTTACTTGCCCAGCTTTCGGTTTTGCTTTCGATTTCGTTTCTTCCTTTGTTTTATTTTCCTATGGGTATATTTTACAGTTCTATGTAGGTAGGTATTATAGCGTCAAAACTACATTAAACCTATGTAGTACCTAAAATTGTGCCCGGTATATGCCAATAGGCTCATCCCCTATTATATGGGACTCATAACATAAATAGTGAAAAGTTGGTGTTACAATGTACACAAAACACCGTTAATTAGTTCGCAGCGCTACACATCGACACTAGTATGACTACACAATATACATGTGTGGGTAATTTCATATTAATAGATATGTATAGAAACATTCGTCTATCACACACATCTTGGTATTTAAATATCATTTTTGTGTCGGTATACGTAATTATTTAGTAAATAAGTTTAAATAAAAACGAGGGTAAAGATAAAAATAACTTATAACAAACTTTGAATAAATCGAAATCAAATAATGAGCAATCGAGCTATACAATACCCATATAAATATAGTGTTTCCTTTATGTTACTGAATGGTATACAATATTTCGATGATCTCATTCACAGCGCGTTTGGCGTAATGGTTATCACCTCCAGTAAAGTGCCGCCGGATCGATTCCAGCATTCACAAGTTATTTCATTAATCAAATATTTAAAATTTGAAACAATGTTTTAATCTTTTCTTTTTTTCTATCCTATTTTTCTAAATCTTCTTATGTTAATTTTAAAAGTATATACTTTATCGCATGATATTTCCCAATTCGACTATAAGGTTTATTGGCCATATTGATTCATTATTATTTAAAGAACTTTAAGAACTTAAATGTGGTATGATAATGAATTATTATAAATATTGGATATAAAACCACTTATTTGTATAATAAATAAATTAATTGTAATAAAAGATAGTATTGTTTTATTTACCGACTTATCTGCTTCTTTTATAGCCTGATCTAATATTTCAAAAAACAAAAAATAAGAAAAACTACATAGTAAAATAAAAAAAGAATCTTTCAGCTGGAATAGAACTCACAACATCATTGATCATTGAAAGACGATAAAAGCGTACTCATTAACCAGTCGACCACGAACACTACGTTAAAACGTCGGGTCATATCAATGATTGTAAATAGTTTTAACCTTACCCGTGGATTAAATTATAAAAATACATATACCGACACAAGAATGAAAATACCAATGTGAATGTGGTGGACGAATATTTTTATACACAGTAATATGAAATTACCCACACATGTTCACTGTGTAAAATATAGTAGTGTCGATGTGTGGCGCTGCTAACTAATTAGCGATGTTTTGTGTACAACGGAATTAAGTCTTACCCTGCCTATTCGTTCGGGGATAAAAGGCGTGACGTTATATTATATTTTTATGTGGAAAGTACTGACGTAATAGTTTGTAAATTCATTGTAGCAATATCGCTGGACACTTATAACTGGCATAAACGAAATGCCTCTAAGGTAAATAATAAAGTACTATAAACTACAATTTAGTTACGAGTTGCAATTTAGAGGTAGAATACAAATTAATCTACCTACGCATGAATTCTACAAAATAGTATAATGAAATACAATGTACGCAAAAGTAAAGATTACAAACGAAATATAATGATACAAGTGTGAGATTAAAGGCCTTCACTTTCAATGACCTACAAACGCTGATGCAAAAATGTATAAACAACAGCCTCACATAAAAAAACTCGTTAAAATATCCCTAATTCAAATGACTCGTAAAAGTATAAAATGAAAATACTTCGAGACAACTTTTATTTCGCTGCGCAATGAAATGTCATTTTTGAATCGTCGTAAAATAAATTATGCAAAGAACGTCACTGTTAGTTCTTAAAGCTAAAATCATGGACATTACAATACAAATGCTAATAATGAAGTCTCGAGGGGACGAGTTCGTGGGTTCGTGCAAAGTTCTACGAAAGCAAACGTTGCCGTTGATGTAACAACTCAGTTGCATGCAAACTGTATCAAGTTAATTAAATTGAAAGGGACGAAAATGTTAAAGCGTACCTTGGTTCCAGTCATATCGCGTGATTCGTTTGAATTACTCGACTTTTATTGATCTTTGGTTACAACCCGAAATTATTTCACTCCATTATTATCTTCCCAGCACAACATGCGAAGACTGTTGAATGGTTGCCATGGTAACTAATAAACGAGTATCGAACGGTTTCAAAATGGTTTCAAAGCTTTGATGCCAGTTGCAGATGCATGACGGCATGAAAAATAAGGTTTTATTTTTTCGTGGAATTTGTTCGGAATTTTACAATGAAATTGATAAATTCCTGTTATGAATTCGATATTAATTTATTGTCGGGCGCTTTTATGTTTATTCACTGTCATTCGATGTTGGAGTTAAAAATATGAGTAACTTTTTTAATTGGCTGAATTTTTAGGTTCACAAGTTTTCCTTTTATTGGGCTTGTTTAATGAACTATTACTAACTTGCATTGAGCAAGCGATTGGTGATCTTGGCGATTAATGCACAGACCTTCTCGAGCAAACTCAGCAGTGGGCATTTATAGGCCAATGACGATGATGATGATGATGATGAACTATTTTAGCGTACTCAATAGATTTTTAAGTATAATAAAAACACGCTACAAAATGTCTCTTTGATTTATAAATAGACTAAAACTGAACTGTACGTGTTGGAGTGTTTGATCAGAGACACCGATTTTTCGACTTAAGGTCACTCTCACTCTAATGTTGAGTCTGAAATAACGATTTCAAGTATAGGTACTTTGCATCTTTTCAATAACGATACAATCTTATGTATGATATCAATTCTCGTATCGAGGCAAATTACACTTTTTTATGGAATGGAATATAGGGTTAACGAGCTGAAGGATTACCTGATGACAAGCGATCAACGCCACCCATGGACAGCCTCAACACCAGAAGAGGTACAGGTGCGTTGACGGCCTTTTAAAAAGGAATTCACTCTCTTCTTGAAGGTTGAATATTGAATTCACTGAGCAATTCAGACTTGGCAATTTACAATTTAAGATTATATTCAGTACACATATATACGATATGCACCAGGTTCGTCTATTATAATAGAGGTATATCATTCAACAACATACGTGACGAATATTGGTAAAATTAAGTACCTTCATCCAAAGGCTAAATTTAAGTTATCTTACCTTTGGGATTTGATTTACTCCGTCCCCAAATATTTGTGGTTGACGGAACTTTGCTTTGGGTACGTACTGTGTAGATATAATCGTTATATTTTTGATGTAGTATTAAAAGGTAGCCACTACATCCCTTCAGGTTTTACACCTGGAATATGTAATTCTGATAGTTCTACACTATCACGGCTTTTAAATCCCTGAAGAGACATAAGTCACGGAATACAGATAAATATGGCTAAATTTAGGTTAATTATTACTTACATGCTTTTTAGTATGCACACCAAATTGTTTTATAAAATAAAGTTTATCAGTAAATCATATAAAACAATATTTATAAACACGATATTAATGTGTGGAAATAATAACACATCCTTATCTAGAGGTATTTTAGTTTTAAGATAATCTGAAGGATGCCAGTTAATGGTAGGTATCTCGCACTAATATTCTCCTTTCTTGTAGCTTAATCCTGCAAAATTATATTTAATAAAAGCTGAAATGTCCAGTCCCTAGTTACAAAAGACCGTGAAATATTCGTCTTTGTTTCTTTCATAGTGGAAAAATGCGAGAGGCATCGTTTTACGAACAAAAAAGCGACAACCATTTTAATTTTAACTGACACGCCGAAGATTTATTTTTGTAGACTTTTATGTAATGTGCGAGCTAAAATATCAGTTTACGTTGTTCAAAACCTTGATATTGTTAACATTACGGACGTCATTTTCCTTACGTCACCTGCAGATTTCGGAAATACAAAAGACCCTCCAGTAGACGAAACGATCAAAAGACCGGTAGACCTCGAGTCAGCAACTCTTGACTACCGGTTTTTCCATCAGCGTTTTTTTTAGGCCACTGACCTCTGCTCACGTTGGCAGTGTCACAGCTCAGCTCTGGGCCGCTGCCAGACTTTCGACAATGCTGATCCCAAAATAACCTCGTCGAAAAGTTTATACGACATTTTTTCTGTTGTAAAATGTTAAAGACTTGGACCGCAGTTCATCAATCCGGGACGTTACTTCAATGCAACCAAAACATATGAAGCCATTTTTAATTTTATTCATAACATTTTGTCATTCCAGCGTAAACATGCTTTAATTAAAAGATGAGAAGTCGTTTCGTATGGTTTCTTTATGATGAGTTGTGTAAACAAAATAGACAGAGCGGTGCTATTGCATAGTTTGCAAACTCGGAGTTAGATATTGTTAGGTTTTCGATTTCGAATTCAGTTGTGTCTAGACGCAAGTCTAGTTAAAGGTAATTGGGCCGTCTGAACACTGGTGTTGTACCTAAGACTATATAAGGGGCAAAATGTTGGCTTCCCTTTGCTAAAATTGTTGAGATACTTACATTACAATGTACGTGTCTTTCTGGTATCTAAGGGTATCTAGAGGAAATAAATAAAATTAAAGTTTGAATAATTTATTCAATAAAAAAGAATTTTATATATAAGAAGAACATACATAACATCAATACACACGATAATGCAAATATAATGGAATAAACAATACCACTCTTCAGGACGCATTCCGTAACTGTTTCAACTCACACTAAGTTCACTCCGAAGATAGCGTTTCTTGCGCTCCCCACAGAACTTCTATAAATAAGTCCCCGATGTTTAGACTATAATGTATTTTATGTTCCGTTGGTCCCAACTCGACTTGTTCTTATATGGATACAAATTACACTAATACAAATATAATTTTATCTTTGTGTTTACGTAAAACAGAACATGAGTTTCACCATAAAATATTCAAACTAATTACGGAAGTGATCCCTACAAACATAATGCATTATAAATATAAGTATGACTAGAATCAAGTTACACGTAGTCTCATGGCAGCATAGTAAAAGTACAACATATTTACATATCAACGCAAAAGATTACGCATGTTTGAATTATAAAAAACCGCTATTTTATAACACGATGTACGTTAACTTCGTTAATCCTATAAGTCCGAGGCGCATAAAGTTTAAATACGTTTTTCACATAAAAATATTGCAAGCCGGTAATAAAAAATGTCGCAATAAAGATTATTTTTCCGTCGCTTATAAGATTAACAAGGCGTAATAATATAAACGTCACGATTAACATTCAGGGTGTAATTAAATTCAAGGTAACAGAATCAGTCAAGAATCGTCTAAAAGCTGAAACTGACGTTGTGTAATTATGTTAGTGATGCGACTCAAACCAAGTCCCAGCTCGAGTTAATCGGATGAACTCATTGCACCTCCTGATCGAAAACGATTGCTCCATCGAATTTCACCGTTTTCGAAACCAATCAGGCATAAGAGCTGACTCCGTCGACTTTGAAAAGCGACTAGATACGGAATTATCTGGTACTGACAATTTATCAGCTATTCCATCTAAGTAAAATCAGATTTATATTTAACGTAGTTTGACAGTTGTTTTCGTTTTGATGATCGTTTTCTACTACAGGGTTAGAATCAACTAACAACAGTAAATATGATTTCACTACGAATGAAATTCCAAATAAACGAATCGAACAATTTTGCTATAATCTTCGAATGGCAAAACATCACCCGGGCCGCATCACTTAGTCTTATTTTCGTAGAATACATTACATGGAAGACTTGAACATAGTTACAGCTATTGGTCATTTGAGCACTGTTCAGTAAAGATTTGAGGAAGCTTTCCCGCGACTGGAGATGTCGCGTGACAATGATGTGCTGGAAGCGTCATCGGCCGATGATTGTTGGTTCATCAGCCATGGCCAGCTCGTCTGTGGCTGCTTTATCACCTTTCCTCTTGCGGGAGTACCAGAGGAAAGAAGCAGCTGCGAAGAGGTTGACGAGAACCACGAACCAGGCCAGGAAGAAGCTGATGTTGTAACTGTGGAAAAAAAGGAGATGTGATGTGACGTAAACCAAATAAAATATAGAGATCAAGCCACGATATGCTTGAAATTTCTGTACAAAATTCAACAATGGAATGCTTTCAACGCAAACTGATAATGCTCGTATAAACAATAGCCGGTGTTAGCCGCACTTTACATGCGTTTGGTCCGACCGTATACAAACGTCCATCACGGCAGTTAGTAATACGTCAAAAGCATGGCATTGTATGCGGAAGGAATAGGATTTTGTAGAAGACATGAGAATAGAGTGCTATTAGGGCCAATTGAAAATATACCGATAATAAGGCCACATCTGCAAAGCTTAGAATAAATGTCGTCTTTAAATTGTTAAGTCAGGATCAATACAATTTGTGAAAGGCACGTGTTGTACGTATGTACCTTTATAATTGAATGAAGAATGTTTCTGAATGGAGACGTTTCTTGAATAGCAAGTAATGTGAAGTTCGTTTCGTTTCAGAACTTTATTTTCATACTGCTATATTCTGTTAAGTTATATTTTAGAAGGCAACTTGAATGCAACAAAAGTTGTCAACATATATACTAAGAAAATGATTACGTGACCAATACTTACTAATGATAGGCACGTTCTGGATAGATGAATTTCACACTCTTCTTCATATGGTCCACTGAAGACATCATTACTTGCACAACAACGAATGTGCATGATGCTGGAAAGATAAAATAGATGTAGTAAAAAGTAAGGTAAATACGTATAAGTTAATGAACAAAAAACTTATGGGACGACGTGCTCCATCGTAGACCGCTTCATCGCTAGGCGAGTTAGAGGTCAAACGTCGGCCCATCAAATATAAAAAAAAAATAATAACATACAACAGATTATTAGGAAAATTAGTACAAATCGCAAACTTGGTATTTTCGTTAACACTAAGGGAAAATACCAGATAATTAATAGAATAAAGTTACTCTGAAGTACTTACTGCTAATGAAATGGATGCCAGCAGCAAGACGCTTGAACATGTACCGAGGGTTGTGGAAGGTGTACACCGAGAAGCCACATCCCATAGCCATGACGAATAAGCTGATAATACCAAAAGATATCATCGTCCGCACGTAATCTGAATAAAAGAAAAAATATCATGACTAGACGAAAACAAAGACATGCAATTAATTTTATCACCTCTATTTTCGAAGTACGAATGGATATTACGTATTTTTAAATATGGAATGCCGGATCGTAGATCTACGCGAGACACAATGTGTTTGTAATGATCAAATTAATTCTGTCTCCTAAAATTTACTAACCCATTTAAAACTAGAAACTAACTTAACAAGAATATTACCTAACTAACACACAGTTCTATTATGATTATCCGAAGCTGCCTGTCAATGATTTGTTTGAAATGAATACTAAGACTTCAACACTGAATATCGCTCTAATTGCAAGCTAGTTTCCATGCCATACCAAACGACTATGGAACATCGATCACATTCGTCTTTGCTTTTTGAAAAATCCAATACAGAATAGAGGAATACAATGCGTTCGTTTCAAAGCACGGAACACGTACGACTAATCTTTGGTTACAAAAGACTTCGCCTACCTTTGTAACCTGATATTGGATTTGTGAAAGAATGTTCTTGAGGCGGAAAATACGAGGGGCGGAATTTTTCCACATAGTTCAGTTAATTTTTTTTCTGCACCAGGCGTACCCATTTTTTCTCTCGATGTTGTAGGTATTTGTTCCGAACTGTAGCTGTGGTATTCCATTTTTCTTTTTTCTTATTTACGTTTACATTGTAATATAATTGAGTTGTACTTACTAGCTATATTAATATCGTAAGCTAAGTCAATTGGACGCCCATTATCCATGGTGGGCTGGGCCAGGTAATTTGTGCATCCTGGAACAAAGAGAATAGATAATTTCAAAAAGCTGCTTTACCATCCCCGTTAAGTCAAAATTATTTTACAATGGAGACCTAAAACTCTATGTATGTAAATTCTTCATGATACGAGGTTACGAGGGATACCCAATGTAAAATGAGAATTCAAATATTTCCTACATAAAACAGAATCATGAAGGATCAAAAAATTGTGCCTACAATAATGAATGTGTCTTGAAAGCCCATAATCATAGTCCACAAGAACAAAACGAGTTACAAAATAAAGCAAAACAATAACGCAGAAAAACGATTTCCATCAAAAAGTCATTTTGAGTCAAGTTCAATTTACACTCACTTGTACATTTTGGTGTAAAAGGAAAAGCAATTTGGTCCATTATTAAATATTTTTGAGTTTCATAAAAAGGATCTAAAAGCGTTTAACGGTCGTATCAACCGTACTTTCCGAGAAGCAGTAAGCATTGTTATCTTCTTAACGTCTATCAGTCTGTTTGAATTAAACTCGAGAAAAGTGTGGGTACATAAAAATGGAAATTTTCATTCTACTAGAAGAGCTCTTCGAGGCTTCATGCTGTAACTTGGTGGTATTATGACTTGGGAATAAAACGCCAAAGTGTTCAACACAAAAATGAAGTGCTGAATGTTATTGACAGTTGTTAACACTTTGTAAGTTGGTGTTTAAATTGAATACTCTGAACGCTGAACTGTATGTTTGGTGAAAAGTTCAATGAAAATGAAACATTATTTAAAGCCATTTAGATTCTCGTTGTCACAGTTTAGGTACTACATGTAGAACTATAAACATAACTGACAATAATTGGGCAACTATGTAATAACCCAGCGATATTCGCTTTGCATAATAAGATAAAGTTTTAACATTAGGTGATTCTGAAAGATCCAATATTTTTTAAGCTATATCTCGCAATCAGCTTTAAAAGCTCTTAGCAGATTTTTGAGGGAATTCATTGGCAGGAGAGACTGTACCTCCAGTGAAGAAGCGGTCTCTAAACTAATATTAGGATTCATCCACTAGATAAAATCTTGTCTTTTAACCTTCTGACGTTTATTGGTTAGCCTAAAACCGTTGCTAGGGTGTTAGAATGCGCCTTTATTCGTTTTTGTTTTATGCTCGATTTCTCCCTTAACAGTCCTCATTGGCGTGTGTTAGCACAGTTCACTATTTTTGATGAATACAAGTGCATCAGTTATCATTTTGAGCGGTTTATTCTGGAAAAGTTGGAAGATCTCCACATTGTACTTTTTGGTTGATCCCAACAGTTCACTGCAAGTTATGATCCAAGTAAATATTTAACTATTTAAAACTTCAATCCAAAGCCGAACAGCTAATTTTAACGCGTATTTTTTACGAAACTAAATTTATACTTACACTTTTATTTATATTTGAAAGCATGAACATGTTTAGGCTACTCGATAATATATGCGTCATGACAGTAATGTTGGTCTGTTTAACGTCTACATTCTAAAGCAAACTCAGTAAAATGTTTGTACTCATTGTGCCTTGTACATAAGTACATATATCATGGCAAAGCGGGCATAAAAGATTTATTAAAGTACGCACTTCTCTTGTAAAGAATGAGAAAAGTCGAGTTGTATCTGTTTCATTTTACGGACAGAGTTTCTTACATTATGATTACTTTTAAAATTATTTTAATTTGTGAAATATTGCTTTTGTTGCCCAATTTAATTTTCATGAGAATTTATCTCTAGTAATGACGTTTTGTTATAAAGTTTGGAGTAGGACTGTTTTAAGATTTTATTATGATTTAGCGCATTGTTCGGTTTGATTTATTCAAGCAATTGAAGTTTTGTTTCTTTGCTTAATTGTAATTTCACAGGTGCGTTGCTATCTCGAGGTAATTTATTATGATACTTCGAAATACAAAAGGTTTCTGTAGCATATCTAAAGGCTAATGTAAGCTTTGCAGAATATCGTTTAATTAAAAAAAACGTATGTAATTTTTCTTCAATTGTTTGCAAAAAAAAGTAAAACCACCTTAACTTAGGGCACAAAATAGTTGAGTGTGTTGACGTCATATCTAAATCCGAAATTACTTACGAATTCTGTATAAAATGTTCATAAAGAAACTATTAAGCATTATCACACTAAAACACTCAAATATTCAACTATATTACTAAAATTACGACCAAAAGTTAATTCTCCATAGAGGACAGTTAACTATTTCTCTACGAAGTCGTTATCCTGTACTCAGGTAAGTGTTTTAAGCTAGCCGGACGTTCGCCTTATCGCTACCCAGGTTATGGGTGCCTGGTACCTGCCGGATAAACCCAGCTACACGGCTCAGTTTATCGCACTGCGGTAAGGTAATTTAATATACGTAAGCAATGTACAATGTACAATGAACTTAACCTATGCGGATTATAAAGGTGGATTCAACTAAATTATTTATGAGGGTTGAAAGGTTGTTTGTGTATTAACGATAGATATGTTTATTAAGTTTTGGGCTCGAGAATCTAATTTGAATATCAGTTTATTGATTTTATAGTTTTAAGGACACCTTTTAGTCCTACTGTGGCGTAATTGTAGAACTCATTTTAGATTAGGTAGTATTGACTGATAAAGGGTAACCATAGAGGTTCTTGTTTGTTCTCCATGATAGAAATCGAATAAGTAAAGTGAGTAAATAGACTTACTACGGCATTACCAACAGCATACCCTATATAATATAGATAAAAGATTTAAATTTGTCTTTAAAAATACCTATGTCACATTCCTACTGAATGGTGCACACTAAAAGGCCAGCGGCCAGACTTATCAAGACACGCGGTAGTATTTCTAGCCAAGTTTCAAGCAAAGAACTGGCAAGTAACAGCGTGTGTAATAAAGACGTAGTTACTTCCAGGATACACGAACTAAATATACGAAGTTCATTATTATAGTTCATAACTTTTGTCGCAAATAAAAGCTGTAGGTATTTACGTAGCAACGCCACATGTCGCTGAACGAATAATTACTGAAATTCAGAATACAGGGGGCGGTAACTAGCATCTGCTTAGTTATAATTGAGCATGGTTCAGTATAAAACACATTTCAAAGTTCGTTTACCCCTAAATGTGCTAAGTTTGGGCAAACTTTTCGCGATTGTTTAAAAATATCTAGAGGGAGAAGTTTAAGTCTTGCTTTCGAACGAATTGACAGATAATCTGATGGCAAATGATTCGTCTCCGCGACCAACAAAATGTACACAGCTCTATAGATCGTTACTAATCTGGTGTCCTTTTGGTTGCGCAACCAATATGGCGTCGCTACCAACTCGAACGCCAGCATAGAGTGTTACTGGTCGCTCATTCAGACTGGTCGTACCACCGCTAATTAGTATAGCGTTGTATGGTGTGTTATTGGTGGTGATGCGACTGATTGCGCTGCCTTGGTGTCCCGGTGAGATAGAACCCAAATGATCAGCGCTTCCAAGAAATACCAGTGTCATCAGAGGCCTTAGTACGAGTTGGTTTTACCTTTAAAATAATCATGGCTCCATGGACTAACGAATCAGAGTACCTAACGCGGTCTCTTTTCTATTACTTTTAATGTAAAACACTCGCACTAAGCTCGCTAAACAGCTACTTGCGCTATTGGCCTTCTAGGAGAGGTTGTGGACCTCTAGTAATACAATGCAAGTATTATTTTACGCTGGTTTTTTCTGGTGGTATAGAACCATACTCGCAAAAATCTTCTTCTACTGTCACACTTTAGTATATCATGACAACACATACAACGTACAATCAATACGTTTTATCAAATCTCGCACTTAATGATATGCAAATTTATTATGTTATTGCATTGATTATCACGTTATTTTCAACACACTCTAAACCCAGCCAGCATTAAAGACGGTGACTACTAAGAACCCAATTCTCACTCGATATTAGCACGCAATTTTATTGATACCAGCACTCATTTAATCTAGATAAACGATTGCTTTAAGGTACTCTTAGACATGCTCTAAAATATACGTAGTATGATAAAATGTGTTCCATTGAGTATGCTCAAAAATGTTTTAAAGTCGAACGCCTGTCGATCCACAATCATGCTTGAAATACGCATGCTAATTTTAAGAAACATTCCGACACATGCATTCTAGTAAGTGACAATGTGTACTCCTTCGATCAACAATTGCTATTGTTGATCGAAGGTGTACTCAATTAAAATATGCTTTCGTGTTTGGAACTAGCATGTGTAATAGTACTTTTATATTATTTCCGTTCGAGTTCTCTAGCTTACGAGACAAGTAATAAATTCTAATGTAAAAAGATTAGATCAGCGAGTTAAATGCGATGGTTAAAAGCGAACGTGATTTATGTATTGTGGGACTGTCTACGGTATTTCACTCGTCAGTTAAATTAATCAATGTTTTACGAGTTGTTTCTACTGTTAATTAGAAAATTTTATTACAGTTTGATGTGGGTAAAGTGAATGTATGTACTCTTCTCCTGATTGCTATTACAAGTTGACACATATGACAGAGACCATGCAGCTTTAACTCGTTGAGTACCGCAATTTAAGACACAATTAAAGAACAATAGGTTGAGGTCACCGGTGTCCTCGCGGTGTTTGACAGTTTAAGGCTTGGCGACTTCGACCGTGTAGAATATGAGGTTTAAGGCATTACTTTCTTTATTTATTAACTCTTTGATGCGGACTTAAAGGTGGACTTAATAAGGTACACAACGTTTTCTTTGTTACAATTTTCCAAAATTAAAAAATAGTAGCCAATGTTACTTATTAGTAAAAATCAGTCCAGCCATTTCAGAGATTATCCAGTACAAACAGACACAGACAAAAAATGTGATTTTGGTATAGGTATCATAATTATGTATATTCACATGCATGTAGTAAAAAACAGTTGTTTCAATATTACAAACAGATAGTCCAATTTTATTAATTTCAATATATTATTAGATGGCTATCTTTGATTTTGAATAGCAATCCTTCGGGCTATATTGAACTGGGATGCCATGGC